GTTGTACAGGAGAACAGCCAAAGGAAAATGATGAATTCAACGATATTTATTCATGGGGGAGGAAAAAAAAAAACTACTCCGGATGGCGATGTTCTTGAGCCATATCCTAAAAATACATTTTTTTTCATGGGACAGGTGTGAAAATGGTTGATGGGGAGGATTTTTTCCCCATGCCTTCAACTGTGAAGGTCTTCATTGGAAAAATAGAAATTTTTCATTTGAAAAAATAGAAATTTACCAGAACTGATCAACTTAGTGGATGGTTTTCAGAAGATGTTTCAAGGCAAAAATTCAGAGCCTGGATAGCTCAGTCGGTAGAGCATCAGACTTTTAATCTGAGGGTCCAGGGTTCAAGTCCCTGTTCAGGCGAATTAATTTTTTCAAACCCTTTCTTTCTCAATGCTTTTACATGATTTTTTTTTTTTAATCTTGGTGCACTGTCTCTTCTCCACGGCATGACCAGTGGTGAAATCCAGCAGGTTTTGACAGGTTCTGGAGAAGCGGTAGCGGAAATTTTGGAGTTCGGAGAACCGATGGTGGAAATTTTGAGTAGTTCGGGGAACCGTTAGCAGAAATTTTGAGTAGTTCGGAGAAGCAGTAGTGGAAATTTTGAGTAGTTTGGAGAACCGGTAACGGAAATTTTGAGCAGTTCGGAGAAGCGGTAGTGGAAATTTTGAGCAGTTCGGAGAACCGGTAGCGGAAATTTTGAGTAGTTCGGAGAACCAATAGTGGAAATTTTGAGTAGTTCAGAGAACCAATAGCGGAAATTTTGAGTAGTTCGGAGAACCAATAGCAGAAATTTTGAGTAGTTCGGAGAAGCGGTAGTGGAAATTTTGAGTAGTTCGGAGAATCAGTAGCAGAAATTTTGAGTAGTTCGGAGAACCGGTAGTGGAAATTTTGAGTAGTTCAGAGAACATGCAAATGCCACCTCTGGCTGGCCCCAGAGTGGGGTGGGAATGGAGATTTTGCAGTATCCTTCCCCTGCCACGCCCACCAAGCCACACCACACCCACAGAACCGGTAAAATAAAAATTTGGATTTCACCACTGTACATGACCCATTTCTGACAATGTTTATGAACACCAAGAAACATACGTGTACAATGAGTAATTCTGGGGCTGGAAACCATAAGTTTTCTGCCGTTTCTTCCCCCCGTTTTAGTTTACCTACGAAGCTTGTGTAACTAATATGCAAACAAACCAGGCTGTACTTTGAATCGGAATGGAATTTGGAGATCATATATTTTTTTTTATTTAAAAAAAAAAAATCATTTAATTAAAAATAGACAAACAAAAACATATATACATACAGTCCACAACATAAACAACCTATACATTTAAATCAAGTCTTACAACTTGAGCCTTAAGAAAAAAGAAAGTTACTTCGGTATTCTATATTTCTCTATATATGTATCTACATCTTTCATTATATAGCGATATTTTAAGTTTATTTCTTGATTTTTGTTTCCTTAGTTGGTATAGAAGATAGAAAGGGAATACCAACTATGGAGATCATATTTTAATTTGCTTCTTCTTCTTCTTTTTTTTTTTAACCACAGCTGTTTCTTTTTTTTTAATGTCTGGGAAAAAATATCCATTTGGTTCAGTTCCAACCTGGGAGAAAGTGGAGTGGAGACAAAATGGAGGCTGGAGGCTGATTGGAAAGAGGTTCCATTGATTGATGAAGTAGAACCACCAACCACATGTGATTTTGGGACAGCTGACCACATGGAGTTGAGAGTGAGGGCTATTTATACCATATCTTGGGCTTTGCACTTGAGCTTCCTGTTCCTGTGCAAGAACATATGTTCTATTGGCTGTTGTCAGACTCCCATGGGGCCCATGTACAAATCTGAGGAGTTTGTCTGAGCTACGTTTGGTTGAAGTTCGGGCTGATGCAATGAAGGGGCTGGTTGGGCAATTCTTATTGTGGCTGAGGGCTAATCCTACCTTTGTTGGATCTTGGGTGAGGGTATTTGCTTATGACTAGAACTATCTGTCTCTTTATCTCTTAAGGGCTGACATCTGCTGTGGGCTATTAAGGCTTTCCAAGAGCATGTTTCTCCAGTTCTCATCCAGGGAAATACAATAATCTGTCTTTTTAATATTTCTCAAAATATTTCATTCTTCTAGGAGATGAGCGGGTGCTGACTTTCTACACAACAGAAGGAAGGGAGGAAGGGAAAGGAAAGAAAAAGAAAGGAAAGAAAAGAAAAGGGAAGGGAAGGGAAGAAGGAAAGGAAAGGAAAGAAGGAAGGGAAAGGAAAGAAGGAAAAGAAAGAAGGAAAGGAAAGGAAAGAGAACAGAAGGAAAGAAGGAAAGGGAAGGGAAGGGAAGAAGGAAAGGAAAGAAGGAAGGGAAGATGAAAAGGGAAGAGAAGAAGGGAAGGGAAGGAAAGGAAAGGAAAGAAAAGAGAAGGGAAGGGAAGAAGGAAAGGAAAGGAAAGAAGGAAAGGAAAGAAGGAAAGGAAAGGAAAGGAAAGGAAAGGAAAGAGAAGGGAAGAAGGAAAGGAAAGGAAAGGAAATGGAAGGGAAGAAGGAAAGGAAATGGAAGAAGGAAAGGAAAAGGAAGAAGAGAAGGGAAGGGAAGGAGGAAAGGGAAGGGAGGAAAGGGAAGGGAAGGGAAGAGAAGAGAAGGAAAGGAAAGGAAAGGGAAGGGAAGAAGGAAAGGAAAGGGAAGAAGGAAAGGAAAGAAGGAAAGGAAACAGAAGGGAAGAAGGAAAGGGAAGGGAAGGAAATGGAAGGGAAGAAGGAAAGGAAATGGAAGAAGGAAAGGAAAAGGAAGAAGAGAAGGGAAGGGAAGGAGGAAAGGGAAGGGAGGAAAGGGAAGGGAAGGGAAGAGAAGAGAAGGAAAGGAAAGGAAAGAGAAGGGAAGGGAAGAAGGAAAGGAAAGGAAAGAAGGAAAGGAAAGAAGGAAAGGAAAGGAAAGGAAAGAGAAGGGAAGAAGGAAAGGAAAGGAAAGGAAATGGAAGGGAAGAAGGAAAGGAAATGGAAGAAGGAAAGGAAAAGGAAGAAGAGAAGGGAAGGGAAGAAGGAAAGGAAAGAAGGAAAGGAAACAGAAGGGAAGAAGGAAAGGGAAGGGAAGGAAATGGAAGGGAAGAAGGAAAGGAAAGGAAAGAAGGAAGGGAAAGAGAAGAAGGGAAGGGAAGGGAAGGGAAGAAGAAAAGGGAAGAGAAGAAGGAAAGGAAAGGGAAGGAAAGGGAAGGGAAGGGAAGGGAAGGGAAGGGAAGAAGGGAAGGGAAGGGAAGGGAAGGAAGGGAAGAAGGGAAGGGAAGAAGGAAAGGGAAGGGAAGGGAAGGGAAGAGAAGAGAAGAGAAGAGAAGAGAAGGAAAGGAAAGGAAGGAAAGGGAAGGGAAGGGAAGGGAAGGGAAGGGAAGAAGGAAAGGGAAGAAGGAAAGGAAAGAAGGGAAGGGAAGGGAAGGGAAGGGAAGAGAAGGGAAGGGAAGGGAAGGGAAGGGAAGGGAAGGGAAGGGAAAGAAGAGAAGAGAAGAGAAGAGAAGAGAAGAGAAGAGAAGAGAAGGGAAGGAAGAAAGAAAAGGAGAGGGGAGGAGAGGAAGGGAAGGGAGAGGGGGAGGTAGGCAGGCAAGTTGCTTTCCTTTTAGGCGAAACCCAACACAGCAGCCCCACATGTTGAAAATCTGCTGTAGAGAAAAACATTTTACTGAGTGAACTGCAGAGTCCCGAAGGGTCTAAGAGCCCTGAGATCGTTGTTAGAAGGTTGTCAAGGTTGTTAGAAAAAGAGGAAAAAGCATTTCCTCGTAACTACGACCGCTCCCGTTCGCTGTCAGCAGAATGAAAACCAATAGTATCAATCCCAACGTCGGTTTCAGCAGCCCGGCTAGCTCAGTCGGTAGAGCATGAGACTCTTAATCTCAGGGTCGTGGGTTCGAGCCCCACGTTGGGCGCAAAAGTTTTTTGTTTTTTATTTTGTTCCCCATGGCATTTTAAAAAAATCCTAATCTTCAATTTTGGAACTTTCCACTTCAGACCGTTTAGGTGGAATCTTGTACGAAATCCGATCCTGATTTCTCCAAATTTTGTTGCCTGCTCCAAAACAAATGGAATATATAATGATGTACGGTGATATGATGATATTTAATGAATTTTTTTTTTAAATTTTAAAATAAAATTATTTTTATTTTGTTTTAGGCTTGGGCGTTGAAGCATCTCTGCCGTCTGTGGGTTAATGACGATTGGGGAAAGGGATCTGGCGATCCATTCCGGCTTGTAAATGAAATCTAATTCGCCAGACGAATTTGAGATTTATCCCCAAAATCCTGCAGAAAAAAATGTGGGTTATTACAAGTGTCAGTGAATTGGGTGCCACCGCTTCCAAGACCGAGGAATCTAAAAAAAAAAAAGCAAGAAAAAACCACAGGAAGGCAGAGAATATTTTTTTTATAGAAGCAGGAAAGGCAGGAAATCTTTTTTTTTTTTTAAATATATTTTTATTGTACATTTTTCTTCATTTGACATCCCAATTTCAATTTTGCAACAGCGATCTCCTCGTTGTATCAACACCCTTTTTTAAAAAAAAAATATACACATCCTAATTACGACCATTTTTCCTCTTATTCAGCAACAGTAACAGAGTTGGAAGGGATCTCAGAGATCATTTAGTCCGACCCCCTGCTCAAGGATCCCTATACTAGGGATTCGAACCGCCGGCCTTTCTGAGCGACAGGCTCAGCGTCTTAGCCACTGAGCCACCTAGCAAAGCAATAGTCATACTGTATAGGAAAAAAAAAAAAATAGAAACTGGATATTATACAACATACTTACGTCTATTGTTTCCATGGTTGTAATAGAATTCTCTGTTAGATTAAAACAGAGTTAAATTAAAAATACTGTAGATAGAATGATATAAGTGTATATTTATATCATTCTAGCTACAGTATTTTTAATTTACAATTTTGTACCGGGTGGGAAAGGCGGGAAATCTTAGGGGTCTGTTTGGATGGGCAGTTTTGTTGTAGGAAAAATGACGGACTAGGACAAGCTCTTCAGTGCAGGAAAGAGTTTTTATTTGCGCAAAGGTTCAAACAGTCCGAAGACCCCAAAAGTTTGAACAAAGATGGATGATTTCAACCAGATATTTATACAGTATAAAGACAAAGTTATTACGAAGAGTACAACATTTCACACGTAGAAGTTACCCTTTAATCTATCTCTAGGAAAGACATAACAGCATGGTTCCCACAGGCTCAGGCTTTCAGCTCCGGAGCTCAAGACATTACAAAAGGAGATAAGAGGCTAGAAGACGCCTCAAGGGCAATAAGGAAGCAGCACCCGTTATCCAGGGATATGCATGACATTTGGGATGCAATAAACATTAAACAACAGAATGTATCTGTTTAGGGTCAGTTTGCCCTTCTACAATTCTGTACCTACGTCAAATACCGTTTGTCATTTCAGCACCTTGGCACGGGAGAGGCACTTCTGTCTTGACCAAAGATTTGGATTTCTAATATTTGAGTTTTATCCCAATATCGAATCTTAGCCTGGCTCATACCCCCCTTTGTGACTCATCTGTTTATCCAGACGAGTCACACCATAGGTCCTCTTCCTGCTGGAGCCGTTTGTAATCCCACGTAGCCATCACCTGAGCAGTTGTCTTACGTTCCACCAGCAAGGATAGACTTTTAGAGAGAGTTTAACAAACAGAGGTAAAATACACGGGAGAAAAAGACACCCTTGCAGCTATTAATCCTACCAGGCCAAAGATGGCCTGCAGGCCAGGTAACTTTGGCCACCATCCTGAAAACATATCCTGTAAATTAAGGCCTTTCCAAGTCTGGACTGACACATGAGCTATTTTAACCATTTTGTCTGTTATTTCCTTAATAACCTTTCCGCTTTCATCAACTTCTATACAGCAATTAGTCCACATACCCCTCCTTCCTTGGCTAACAAATAATCTAAAGCTAACCTATTCTGCATAATATATGTCCTTGATTTGACACCTTCCCTAGCTAATTGAGTAAGACCTTTTACAGTTTCGTTGGTGATGATTTCAACCACAACTTGCAGACGAATTAAACGGTTCAGAATGTATATAGGGGTCCAATAGCCATACATGCCATCTTCCGCCCATGTAGCCGGTCCATAAACCTCAATAATTCGTTCTGCAGGCCATTCTTCACTTCCCCAACTACGTTGGTTACCTCCAACCCTAACTTTCCTTATTGCTGATGTATCTACATGTCTTCTCTGTCTTAAATTTCCCACCTCATCATATACCGGGACACCTAACACCTGTCGGGTTTTAAGGGGAAGCAAAAAAAAAAAAAATCCTGGTCCAATTATTCCCAGGACCCAAGCTCCACACCAAGATTTTGGTAGAACCCCATATGCCATCTTACCACATATCCAGTATAGTCCATCAGGAGCCAGCCATTCAAGGGTCTGATTATCTGGATCCTTTAAAAAGGATAACCCGTTTACTTTAAACAGGGCCCTTTCATCAGTTCCCTCTGTGGCATTAGCTCCTGACCACCATACCTTACTTTCCCATTTTCCTGTACATATGAGGTTTCCCACCTGATGACAGCCTGGCACAATTTTTCTCCAAAAACAAACATTCCCTACCAGACTAGTAGTCAAGGTCCAGTCTCCATCCTTACCCTTATTATATGACAGATTACCTTTCTGATCCATTTCTAATATTTTGGAATAATTTAATTCCTTGAGCTTCCCACGGCCATTTTTCTCCCATGTTAGTTCCTCCACCAACAAAACAATTCGATACATTCAGAGTGTGGGCTATGTCTTCAGCTAATTTGACAAAGGTATTTGTTACATGACTAGGAATTTCAGGTATATGCAGCTTTTCCATTTCAGATAATATTACAAGGGTTCAGGATTTATTACCAAATAATATACTAGCACCTCCTCTATAATTTTCACGTCCCACTCTACCTTACAGCTTATACATAAAACACAATCAATACAGTGAGTGCAACAACAACACTCACACCCACAATTACAAAACCAACACATTTAAAGAAAATTCTCTTTTCCGTTCTTTTGCATCAAAAGGCAGCTTCCAGGGTGTCCTAAGCAGGGACTTCTTTCATCTGTAAGAGGGTCACACACCGCAGCCGGTTGGGGAAATATTAGGAATCGGAACGACTGAGAAATCAAATGGGCCCTGGTTGTCCACAAAACCATTGCTTATATCTGTAAAACACAATAATCAATAAAGCTACTACCCCAATTACTCAAAGTGCCCACACCCAATTTGCCTCCCACATGGATCCGCAATGATCTCCAATCTCTTGTCAGGATCCAAGTTCCGGACCAATCCAAGAGAGCAGGTGCTCCATCCTCTTTTTAGCTTACAGCGGGTTACATCAGCAGATATACATCAAGGTAACCTATATATAGAATACAAAAGCTTTCTTTAAACATATTCAAATGTCAGTTTTGTTGGATGTTGTTCATCCACGGACACTTTCCAGCCAGTGTCAGCTGCTGCCTTGACTCATGTCCGATGGATCCATGATTTTGATTCTGCAATCTTAATAGCAAGTGGAGAAGTCATAATACCAATAAAAGATCCCTTCCATCTTCCACCTGGTCCCCAGGTTCAAATGAGTGACATTAAGTTACTAATCTAGGGGGTACTTGTTCCATCACATATCGTTGGAATCTCTCAATTTGCTTATTAAGTTCTTGTACCATCTCCATATTCCAACCCCCCCCCTTTTATGACCTAAATCAGGCCACCTAACATACATATTTACCTTATTTTACCATATTTACATGGTCGGGTGGAATAAACCTCCAATACCTGTAAACAATCATACTCAGAAACAGACTCCGTATGCAACAAAGTTGCTGGATTTAATCGGTTAGACACCACCAGACACACCTGTGGATTCTCACTCCTAATTGCATGATATTTTGTCAGCCTTTGCCCACTAATCCACAAATGTCCCTTAGTATCCAACACAGACTGCTCCTCATGAGGGGAGTGCATGAGTATAGGACAAGAAAAAGTAAGTTTATTACAATTCTGAATCAATTCTGCACTTGCAGCCAGCACCTTCAAACAGTGGGGCCAGCTTTTCGGCCCCCTCCCCATCCAATTACAGCAAAAGCTAGCTAGTCCTAAAAAAACCTTCTCAGTTGTCTTTTTGTTCGGGGTTCTGCCAGCATTAGGACCGCCCTTTTCCTGCTCTGGTCCTAAAGCTCGATAACCCTTATATTGTATCCCAAATATCTAACTTTCCTTTTCACCAATTGAGCTTTCTTTCTTGCTACCCAATAACCACACTCTAGTAACAAATCTAACATCATCGTGTATTCATCTTAGTATTCTCCCATCATAAATCCTCTGTCAGTCCTGTTGATCCAAACATCATCAACATATTACAGTATTGTGTCTCCTGGTTGTTGAGGCACATAATACTGTAAGTCTCTAGCTACCGCTATTCCAAACAATGCGGGGGAGTTCTTAAATCCCCGAGACAGCCGAGTCCCAGTATATTGCATTTTCATTCCTGTGTAAGGATTCTCCCACTCAAAATGCAAACAGTGGCTGGCTTACGGGGTGAATGGGAATTGTAAAGAATGCATCCCTTAAATCAATAACAGAAAACCACTCAGCCCGGGGTGGAATTAAACTTAACAGGGTATATGGATTCAACACAGCCGGGTGTAAAGTTACCGTGCCCCGGGCTGTAAAACCCATCTAACTGTTTAATTGGGATAATTGGAGTATTCCAGGAGGACTAAATAAGCACCAAAAACCGCGCCTCCAAATCTCTGAATGCTTTCATAAATAGCACAAATAGCTTCCCCAAAAAACGGGACGCTGCCTCATACTCACAGACTCCACTCCAGGTTTTAGTTCCACCCCCACTGGAGGGTGGCGAGCTGCAAAACCCGGCAGGTTATCCTCAGCGCACATCAAACAACCTCCAAATCTTCTCCGGAGAATGCCTTGTGGTCATTCTCTGACTATCTTCATCAAAAGAAATTGTTGCCCCTAATTTGCTCAGCATATCCCTGCCTAGCAATGGAATAGGGCACTCAGGAATGTACAAAAATTCATGCTGGATTTCAGCTTCCTTAAAATCACACATCTCTGATTTCAAGACCTGCCGCCCCATGGCTTGCCCTGATACCCCCTGGACCTGGATTTTACGTGATCCAGGAGCTGCAATTTGCTTATTTACAACTGATCTACCTGCTCCTGTATCCACTAAAAATGTTGTCTGCTGGCCCCCTATCCTCATTGTAACCAACGGCTCAGGCGGGGGTTCTCCCAAGCCTGGTCCCCTTCAATCTGACCACACCATGTCTGCCAATCCAATACTCTCCCCTTCTTCCTGCAAACTGCCCACGCATCCCTGACCCAAAATCCGCTCTTCTCATCCCTCAACTTCTCACCATCTGTCTTGGGCATTCCTTTTCCCAAGTAATTCCTTTTTCCCAAATAATTTTATTTCTATACCACCCTTCTCCCAAAAGACTCAGGGCGGTGTACAGCCTATTTTGTTAAAAAAACAAGACAAACACCAGAAAGGAGAAAAAAAGTTTTAAAAGCATCTCTTTTCCTCTTTCTCCCCTTCAAAGGAAGGGGGGGGAGAAAAACCCCCTTGCATCCCACTTCGCAGTTCTCCTACCAACAAACTAGCCTTTTTATTCATCCGTGCCTCCTGCTCTTTCTTCTCCACCTACAGCCCCCACAGCCTCCAAATCTTCCTCCTCTTCCTCCTCCTCCTCCTCCTCATCATCATCCCCTCCCTCACTCTGACTGCTACCTCTAGGCGAATGACTCCCCCTGACTTTTGACTTCACGCCAGGATCACTCATACGCCTCTGATTTCCTCCTCCACTCCCTCCAGCAGCCCCCTTACTTTTCCTGCCTGCTCAGATACACATAACCCGACTGTTTCAGCCCTACATTGCAATAAATCCTCAGCTTTTTTCAACAGGGCTCTCACCCATTGATCAATATATTGAAATTGATCAGGATATTTATCCTGATTCACTACAATCACTCCCCACAACTTATCCACTGTTTCTTCCTTTAACCATCCCTGAGGGGGAGGGGGTCAGCCCATCTCCCTTTGTGGCCACACATATTTACATAAGAATTTTAATTGATCCTTTGATCCTTTCAGATAGGAAGGGTTGCTAAAATACTTGTCAAAACCTTTTAACATGCATGCCAACGGAGTATTTGGCACGCTCTGAACCCCATCCCTTCTACCACACTGCCGTCGACTCATAGCCCCGGAAACTCACAGCCACTAATGAGAAATGCGACGGTTTAACCACCCACACAACCTGACATGGACTTCATTAGGGTAGCCTACCCCGAGTCCGAGGGAGTGATCAATTCCCTCCTTCTGCTTTCAAATGAAGCAGGTACAATTCTTTTACAATATACTTACTTAAAACGCTCCCACTCCGTAGATTCCTGGCCAGGAATTTGTTCAGACCACCTTTCCTGTACCGCAGGGTTCTTGGACTCGATCAGAGCACCGTCGGGCCCACCGGGTTATCGCGGCTGTCTCCCAGAGATGTATCTCTGTGGCGCCTGGAGAATGTTCAGGAGCGACCTCCCGATGGTCCCGAGGGGTCAAAACGGTCCTCAGCGAAATATCGCCTTGTACCCAGTCCCGGCGGCGTCGCCAGCTGTTGTAGGAAAAATGACGGACTAGGACAAGCTCTTCAGTGCAGGAAAGAGTTTTTATTTGCGCAAAGGTTCAAACAGTCCGAAGACCCCAAAAGTTTGAACAAAGATGGATGATTTCAACCAGATATTTATACAGTATAAAGACAAAGTTATTACGAAGAGTACAACATTTCACACGTAGAAGTTACCCTTTAATCTATCTCTAGGAAAGACATAACAGCATGGTTCCCACAGGCTCAGGCTTTCAGCTCCGGAGCTCAAGACATTACAAAAGGAGATAAGAGGCTAGAAGACGCCTCAAGGGCAATAAGGAAGCAGCACCCGTTATCCAGGGATATGCATGACATTTGGGATGCAATAAACATTAAACAACAGAATGTATCTGTTTAGGGTCAGTTTGCCCTTCTACAATTCTGTACCTACGTCAAATACCGTTTGTCATTTCAGCACCTTGGCACGGGAGAGGCACTTCTGTCTTGACCAAAGATTTGGATTTCTAATATTTGAGTTTTATCCCAATATCGAATCTTAGCCTGGCTCAGTTTGGCTTAACCCGATCCTTCTCCGCGGATCTGAGATCCCCTGTATGATAGGATTTCTATTGTTAGGCAAAGCGGGGCTTTTCGGTCCATTGTTACGAGAGATGGAACGTTGAGAGATAATGGGGGGCGTGGCCTTGATTGAAGATGGAACGTTGAGATAATGGGGGGGCGTGGCCTTGATTGAAGATGGAACGTTGAGGCGTCTCGCCTTGGTTACTCTGTTGCAATTCGTTTATTGGGAATTGCAACAGGGCTGTAAAGTGGAGCGAGGCGTCTTAAAAGTTTCAATATTTATTTCTTGGTTACATTTATTCCTCGCCTACCCCGCCCTGCCCTGGGGCTGTAATAGGTTTCTTTCTTTCTTTCTTTCTTTCTTTCTTTCTTTCTTTCTTTCTTTCTTTCTTTCTTTCTTTCTTTCTTTTCTTTCTTTCTTTCTTCCTTCCTTTCCCCTTCCTTTCTTCCTTTCCTCCTTTCTTTCATTCCTTCATTCTTTCCTTCTTCCTTCCTTTCTTTCTTCCTTTCCCTTTCCTTTCTTTCTTTCTTTCTCTTTCTTTCCTCCCTTTCCCTTCTTTTCTTCCTTCCTTTCTTTCTTTCCTTCTTCCTTCCTTCCTTCCTTCCTTCTTTTCTTTCTTTCTTCCTTTCCCTTTCCTTTCTTTCTTTCTTTCTTTTTCTTTCTTTCCTCCCTTTCCCTTCTTTTCTTCCTTCCTTTCTTTCTTTCCTTCTATCTTTTCTTCTTTCTTTCTTCCTTCCCTTCTTTCTTTCCTTCCTTCTATCTTTCCTTCCTTCTTTCTTCCTTCCTTTCCCTTTCCTTTCTTTCTTTCTTTTCTTTCTTTCCTCCCTTTCCCTTCTTTTCTTCCTTTCTATCTTTCCTTCTTTCTTTTTTCCTTCCTTTCCCTTTCTTTCTTTCTTTTTCTTTCTTTCCTTCCTTTCCCTTTCCTTCCTTTCTTCCTTTCCTTTTTTCTTTCCTCTTTCTTTCTTCCTTCCTTCCCTTCTTTCTTTCTTTCCTTCTATCTTTCTCATTCTTTCTCTTTCTTTCTCTTTTTCTCTTTCTTTCTCTTTCTTTCCTTTCTTTCCTTTCTTTCTTTCCTTTCTTTCCTTCTTTCCTTTCTTCTTTCTTTCTTTCTTTCTTTTCTTTTTTCTTTTCCCCTTCCTTCCTTCCTTCCTTCCTTCCTTCTTCATTGGCCAAGTGTGATTGGACACACAATGAATTTGTCTTTGGTGCATATGCTCTCAGTCAGGGGTGAAATTCAGCAAGTTCTGACAGATTCTGGAGAACCGGTAGCAAAAATTTTGAGTAGTTCGGAGAACCGGCAAATACCACCTCTGGCTGGCCCCAGAGTGGGGTGGGAATGGAGATTTTCCAATATCCTTCCCTCAGGAGTGGGGAGGGAATTGGGATTTTGCAGTATCCTTCCCCTGCCACGCCCACCAAGCCAAGCCATGCCCACAGAACCGGTAGTAAATAAAATTGAATTTCACCACTGCTCTCAGTGTACATAAAAAGAAAAGATACATTCATCAAGAATCATAAGGTACAACAATCACAGGGTACAAATAAGCAATCAAATCATACTAGGAAACAATCCATATCAATGATAAGAATACAAGCAACAAAGTTACAGTCATGCAGTCATAAGTGGGAGGAGATGGGTGATAGGAACGATGAGAAGATTAATAGTAATGCAGACTTAGTGAATAGTTTCACAATGTGGAGGGAATTATTTGTTTAGCAGAGTGATGGTGTTTGAGAAAAAACTGTTTCTTGTGTCTAGTTGTTCAGGTGTGCAGTGCTCTATAGCGTCGTTTTGAGGGTAGGAGTTGAAACAATTTATGTCCAGGATAAATTATAAATATTTTTGTAAATATTTTCAAAATATTTTTTTCAAATATTTACAGAGGGCTGTAAATATTTTCACAGCCCTCTTTTTGGCTCCTGCAGTATACAGGTCCTCACTGTCAAACTATTTACTAAATCTGCACTACTATTAATCTTCTCATCGTTCCCACCTCCCATCTCCTTCCACTTATGACTGTATGACTGTAATTTTGTTGCAATATTGTATCAACAATATTGATATTGTTTCCTGATTGCTTATTTGTACCCAATGACTATCATTAAGTGTTGTACCTTATGATTCTTGATTTGTTTTATGTACACTGAGAGCATATGTACCAAGACAAATTCCTTGTGTGCCCAATCACACTTGGCCAATAAAGAATTCTATTCTATTCTATTCTATTCTATTCTATTCTATTCTATTCTATTCTATTCTATTCTACTCTACTCTACTCTACTCTACTCTACTCTACTCTACATCTTTGTCTCTAGATGACCAAAGATATGTCTGCACCAATGGATCAGCATTATGGATCAGTATATGCACCAAGACAAATTCCTTGTGTGCCAATCACACTTGGCCAATAAAAATTCTATTCTATTCTATTCTATTCTATTCTATTCTATTCTATTCTATTCTATTCTATTCTATTCTATTCTATTCTATTCTCAAGGGAAGGCAGGTTGGTAGCAATTGTTTTTTCTGCAGTTCTAATTATCCCTTTCTATTAGTAAGAATCTATTATTCTTACTACAAAGAAATGAAAAGAAGTGTGTAAGCATAACCGTAGTAAAGTAATGGAACAATAGAATAAATAATGAAAAAGAAAAAGAAACAGGGACATGAGAATAAAAGACAGACGGGCAGGTGGGGAAGAGGGAGAGAGGGAGATGGTAGTATGGTGATATGGTTAGGCATGTTTTATTGTCATCTCTCTTGGGAAGAGAGGTTGCTATCCGTGTTCTTTTTATTTATAATTTTAAGATTTCTTTCGGTGGTTGCTTTTTGTAATTTTCCTTCATTGCGGCCCAACCAGAGTCTTGATCTGGTGGCTAAACAAATCTTTACGGCTAGAAGTAGCCTTCTAACCAGTGGTGAAATCCAATTTTTTTTACTACCGGTTCTGTGGGCGTGGCTTGGTGGGCGTGGGGTGGCTTGGTGGGTGTGGCAGAGGAAGGATCCTGCAAAATCTCCATTCCCACCCCACTCCAGGGGAGGAATACTGCAAAATCTCCATTCCCACCCCACTCCAGGGGGAAGGGTATTGTAAAATCTCCATTCCCACCCTACTCCAGGGGAAGGATACTGCAAAATCTCCATTCCCACCCCACTCCAGGGGAGGAATACTGCAAAATCTCCATTCCCACCCCACTCCAGGGGAAGAATGCTGCAAAATCCCCATTCCCTCCCCACTCCTGGGGGAAGGATATTGTAAAACCTCCATTCCCACCCCACTCTGGGGCCAGCCAGAGGTGCTATTTGCTGGTTCTCCGAACTGCTCAAAATTTCCGCCACCTGTCAGAACCTGCTGGATCTCACTCTTGTTTCTAACCGCACAAAAGGAAAGTGTCCCTCAAGTCAAATTTGGCTTCTGGAGAGAAACACATGCATATTCTAAACCGTTTTTATTTATTTTTTTTGGCAGGATAAAAGATGGGAACCGCTGCCATTCAAACTTGTCATCAGGTTCAACTCTGCTTTCTCAGCGAAGCAGAAAAAAAACATTTTTAGATGAAGATCGCTTCGCTTTTGGTTCTGGCAGAATCTCAAAGGTGGGGGGGAGAATTTTTTTCAAAAGGGACCTTTGGCAGCGGTGGGATTCGAACCCACGCCTCCGAAGAGACTGGAGCCTTAATCCAGCGCCTTAGACCGCTCGGCCACGCTACCACACTTTTAAAACATATAGAGATGGCTTGAAAATGCTGGCAGTTGAAGTCCACCCACGACTTTAAAAAGTTGCCAAATTTTGAACAATAACTTGCTTTTTCAACTGTGACTTTCTCGGCGTTTTTTTTTCTCTTTTGAAGACGTTTCGCTTCTCATCCGAGCAGCTTCTTCAGCTCTGACGGGACAGGTGGGGGAAATGGAAGCTCCTGCCTAGAGTTGAAGAAGCTTCTTGGATGAGAAGCGAAACGTCTTCAAAAGAGAAAAAAAAAACAAGAGAAAGTCCCGTTGACTCCTGAAAAAAAAAAAAAGTACATTTGGGACAACCACGACCTGAAAGATGGAGAATCTCTCTACAGACTTCAAGGATGTCTTGTAGCCTCAACATCAGGACCGCTTGGCTTAAAAAAAGATATTTCGATTTTTTTTTTTTTGAAACGTTTAAAAAGAACCCGATTTTTTAAGAAAAACATTCTTGATCAGACCGTGAGAAAGTTAAGGGCGGGGAGAGAAGGCAACCAGGTAGCGTGAAATAATAAGTTCATTACTCCGATGAAAAGCAGCTATTGAATTTGCAATGGGAAACCAGAGGGAGGGGAGGGGGGGAAAAAGGGCGGAGTCGAAATTTGGGCGCGAGATTCAAATTCGAAAAGAGCCAATGGGGAGAGAAAGCGCGCCGGGTATAAATTCCCAGGATTAAGAACGCGCAAACTCCTCCAAAACTTTGCACCAAGCAAACGGCTCGCAAGTGGACCGGCGGGAAACAGCTGGGTTAACCTGTTGCATTGACACTTGGTTAGGATTCTGGTTTTCTAATTCTGACCAATCCCCGACGAATCTCGAACATTCGAATAGCGTCTTTCTTCCCCAGCCAATCAGAAGAGAGCGAGCCGGCTATAAAAGGACGGCCGCGACAGCGCGCGTCCCTTCATTCGAATTCCGGCGAGGAGGAGGAGAAGCAGCAGCGGCAGCGGCGGAGCAGCGCTTAGAGAGAAGGATGGCTCGCACCAAGCAAACGGCTCGCAAGTCGACCGGCGGGAAGGCGCCCCGCAAGCAGCTGGCCACCAAAGCGGCGCGGAAGAGCGCTCCGGCCACGGGCGGCGTGAAGAAGCCTCACCGCTACCGGCCGGGGACCGTGGCCCTCCGCGAGATCCGCCGCTACCAGAAGTCGACGGAGCTGCTGATCCGCAAGCTGCCCTTCCAGCGGCTGGTGCGGGAGATCGCGCAGGACTTCAAGACCGACCTGCGCTTCCAGAGCTCGGCCGTCATGGCCCTGC